ATATTACACAAATTCTTTATAAGAATGCGAATGAAAAAATTATATTCTCAATTTTTATAAACAAATTTTTTTTGAAATTTTTTCCTTTTTTAATTTTTCCATCATCTTCCAAAAATCGAAAAAAATTTCTTTATAAATATTATAATGGAAGGAAAAACTATTTCAAATATATTCTCAATTGTTTGCAGATACAGAAAAAAAATTTAATAATAAAAAAATTTTCATTGAAGTGAAAAATCAAATAAAACACACGTTAATGCGTTGTGAGGGTTAATCTTTAGAGTCGGTATTAAAACAATAACATCAAAAAATTTTCAATAAAAATTTTGCACTCTACAAAAATTAAATTTTTTATTTTAACAATTAAGGAGGTTCTATCGATAATTGATTTAATGAACAGATATTGATCTAAATTTTTTAAATACTAAACCGATATGCAATAATTACATATCTGTTAAAACAATTGTCAATAGGTACCTGTGAGATTTACAATAAATCAATTTGTAAACAAAATTTACGTTTCATCTGAAAATATAAACAACACTTATAACGTTTGGCAACGTTGCATGCACTATACACATTAAATTTGAGCGCGAAATTTAAATGATAATTTTCATCACAGGTTAGAAATAATTCGACGTTGCCAAACGTTTGACGTTACCAAGTGAGTCAAAACATTAAATATTTCTCACTGTTTTGACTAGCTGCATCAAGCGATAGAACCTCCTTAATTTTTCTAATGAAGTTTTTTAAATATAAGAATTTTTATGAGTTGTAATTGTTTACACTTACACGCAAAAAATATTTTATCTGCAACAACTATAAATTTTATTGTAATAGAGAAATTTTTAGTTGTTTCAGTTAAGACTTTCGCTATTCTAGAGAAAATTATCGCTGTTCCAAGTAAAATATTTTTTGCGTGCATGAAAAAGCAACTTTACTAAACAGTAGGTTTAATAAATGTTTAAAGATAGTTTTATTCTGCTTTAAACATAGAATTCACTGTCTTTAAACACATTTATACAATGTGACTTGGTATAGGAAAAGGGGGTAAAATTTAAAAAATTTTAAATGGCGGATCCAATATGTCAGATATATTTTTTAAAAATTCAAAGGATTCCCTAAAAGTTCATTACTAAGGGGGTTTTTGGGGGTAGCTGATTACGAATACAATGCCAGATTTTCAAAATTCAAAATGGCGGATCTAATATGACGGACAAAATTTAGAATTTATTAGATTCGCTTGAAACTTTTTACTCGGCTCTCTAAAGTTAAATTTGGAAAATTTTTACTAATTCAATCATCAATTTGTAATCAACGACCCGAAAAAACCTCTCAAGTAATAAGTAGGTATTATTTCAAACGAGTCCGATGAATTTTACATTTTGTCCGCCATATTTGATCAGCCATTTTGAAATTTTAAAATCTGACATCAGATGCGTAATTTCTCATTGTTATTATTTACATTTAAAGAATTTTGTCATTTTTGTTGTTAATTTCTCAAAAAAGTTGTTGGTTATTTTGTCCATAAAGATAAATGTTGTTATTTTTTACGTTAAAAAAATTATTTGACATGTTATTTTGTAAAAAAAAAGTTGTATTTATAAAAGTAGTTTTTTATTTTATAAATGTTTTTCTTTTTTACAACATTTTACCCACACACTAAAATTTTTTAAAAATTTTGCCTGATGACAAACATTTTAAGTACAGTGTTTATAAAATATTCTCAAGTAACAAGTGTACACAGAAAAAAATGCGAATGGTAAAAACAACCACATTTGTGTAGTTAGAAAAAAAGTAGTTAAAACTACCATATTCAGCAGCATTTTAACTACACTTCCTCAGTTAGTGGAACCAAAATGAAGTAGTTGGTTTTATGTAGTTAAAATAACTACTTTACGTAGTTGAAATAACTAACAGATGCTTGTAAATGGCTCAACTATAGTGTAGTAGTAAAAACTATTGTTAAAAATAGTTAATTTTACTATTGTGGTAGCAAAAATAACTATTTTGTATTGGTTGCAAACAAAATGAGACTTACTGTTTTTATATAGTAAATACAACCTCTGAAAGTTGTTACTTTTATGATTTATGTAGTTAAAACAACTATTTCTTACTAGTTGCAGAGAAAGAAAGAAATTTACTGTTTTCATATAGTAAAATGAATTGTTGAAAATAGTTATTTTTACTATTTATGCAGTTGAAAAGATCATTTTTTTCAACAGAGAAAAAACGTGAGTGGTAAAAACATCCACATATGTGCAGTTAAAAAAATATAGTTAAAACTACCATATTCAGCAGCATTTCAACTAAACTTCCATAGTTAGTGGAACTAAAATTGAATAGTAGGTTTTATGTAGTTAAAATTACTACTACACATTATGATTGTGAATAACTCAACAATAGTGCAGTAGTTAAAAGTACTGTTAAAAATAGTTATTTTCGGAATTTCTGTAGTAGAAATATCCATTTCTTGCTATTTGCAAAATAAATTAAAATTTACTGTTCCAAAGAGTAAAAACAACCGCTGGAATTTGTTATTTTTGTGTTTAATGTAGTTAAAAGAACCAATTCTTACTTGCTTTTAATAATTTATCTCTAGGGTGGTAAGAAACATTTATTTTTATAACTACAAAAGTCATAAAAGTAACAATTTTTATGTTATTTTTACTATATGAAAATAGTAAGTTTAATTTTTTTATAACTAGTAAAAAGTGGATAATTTTACTACAGAAATTCTGAAAATAACTATTTTCAACAGTACTTTTAACTACTGCACTATCGTTGAGTCATTTAAAATCATATGCTGGCTACATTTCAACTAAGTCCTTGAGCTTAAAAAATTAGTTACTGCAACTAAACGGAGTAGTTATTATGACTGAATCTAAGAAGAATGTCCTCAAGTACAATGCCAGTCATCGTAGCGTGCGAGCGTGGTTAGGTGGTTAGGTTATCGGTTTGCGAATGTTAGGGTCGTGCGTTCAATCCCCGACGTTTGGGGATTTTTCTCTGTTAGGTGTATAAGAATTTAATATATAAATTATATATGAACAAAAATAGGTAAGAGAAAATATAAAAAAATGGACCTCAATAATAATAAAAAACAAATAAATAATTTCATTTTACTACTTTAAATAGTTAATTTAACTATTTTTTACAGTTGTTACAACTACAATTTGTTACGGGCGCCTATAGGAACTATGAAAATTTAGTTACTGCAACTAAATGAAGCAGTTAGTATGACTAACAACAAATAGTTAAGATAACTGTTTTAGTAGTTAAATTTACTGTAAAAATGGTATTTATTACCACATTTTACAGTTAGACTAACTATTCTGTCATAGTTCATTTTACTAAATAATGTTACGGGCGCCTATAGGAACTACAGGAAATAGTAAAAAAGTAGTCAAATTTACCATATTTTTTTTTGTGTGTACAAAAATTTAATTTATTATTATTTATTTATTTATTATAGTGTATAATTATATATTAATTATATATATATATATTTATTTATTTATTTATTTATTTATTTCAACATTACATGCAGAAATCTTGCCCTGAAATGTGTGTGGGTATAAAAGGTTTATAATAACAAAATAAACAAAAATTTTTCAGTGTAAAAAAATAATAAAAAATTACATTTTTTCATGGTTGAAATAAATCACAATTAATATGTTTGAAAAAACTTAATGGAAAGAATTAAATGTTAAAATAACAATATTTAATTTTTGCACAATGTAACATTTTTGTGAAAATTTTTGTATTGCTTTGATACCGACTCAATTTTTATTCATTTAGTTTGTAGTAGGGAATGACTCGCTCTGTCAAATAATTAATTGGTGATTACGTCGGAACCATTTTAAAATTGTTTAAATCATAGTTTAATTAAAATAAGTGAAAAAAATGTGTCCCTCACAATTTTTATTATTTGCATTTCCTCTTTTTCATTTCTTTTTTTAAAAAAGGGATTAATTTTATAGGGGAAACCTCTTTTTTTTAGTAATTTTGACTCTCGGCGAAATTAGTTAATTCGTGGCAATACAATTCTAGAACCATTTAGAATTATTTGAATCAAACTTTAATTGAAGTAAATGGGAAAATTTAAGGTACTCGATTTTTTCTGGAAGGCCTTATTTTTTTATCTCTTAATATTTTTCGGTATATTTGAAATTGATTGATTGTAAAAAATACCTACAAATTTATCTGCAACATTTTGAAGATTTTAAGTGCAATTTTTATTTAAAGAATGAAACAAAAATTGCAGGGCATTCACGTTTTGGAAAAGGGTTTGATTCTTAGTGTTTTAATTTGTTGAGAATTTTACTGTTGGATTAAATTAGTTAAATGGTAATTATTAAAATCAAACCGAGACTATTTTAATTTGTTTCAAAAATGAATTATAATGTTTTTTTTAATTAATTTCAATTCATTCATTTTGAAATAGAAAAAAATCTAGATTTTTCAAAGGGGTTAATCTCTTGGGGTTCAATTTTATTCGTGGAAAAATTTCCACTAGATAAACCCACTTTTCGTTCAAAATAAGTAAAAAAAATCCAGTGTATTCGGGTGTTTATTTTTTAGAAAGGGTTAATTTTTGAGAGTTCATAGCATAAGTTTTCATAGTATTCTATTAAGTGTGTTCTAAAATAATAAACCCAAAATACTAAATTCAAAAAATACAAAAAAAGCAAGTGAATTTATTGGTTTGAATATTACGGAAATAATACTCGTGAAAAAATGAAAAATCTGTTATTTTTAGTGTCTAGAAATTCAATATCAATTGTGCGATAAATGTAAAATAAAAAGAAGAAGGTGAAGTAAACGTTTATAATAAAGACAAAGAGAATGGACCGAGAAAGACACAGCAGGCATTTCTAGTACATAAATGTCGTGAAGAGAAAGAGATACAATTTTTAGGATCATTTATACAGTACAATATGTACATTAAATAGAAGAAGGTACCAGTAAAAGAAAATTAAATCTCTTAAATGACTTACCGGAAGGTCATGAAGCGACGGAGTCACCACTAAATCCGAATAGGCACGATCTCTCCTCTGAAAAATAAAAATATTTCTTTATTCATTTTCGTTTAGTTGACAAATTTATTTCTATTTTAAATTTTAATTATGAATATTATTATCATTATGTATTATGAATAATATTAAAGTAACGTAACGTAAAACCTACAAAAATCTTTTGCCTTGAAGTTGCTCCTAAACAATAAAAATATTGTTGATTATTATTTAGCCCATTATTTAGGAGCAACTTCAAAATTTGTAGGTTTTACTTTAAGTTTGAAGAAAAACAGGATTTGAACCAGTAAAAGTATTTAAAAATAGGGATTTTACGAACCAAAAATGAAAAATTACGGACCAATTACTGACAAAAATATAACCAGTCCAAAACAAATAAGAGAACATTATTTCACTTAAAACTATAAATTAAATTTTTCATAACTAAAACATGAAGATATCGATAACTCCGAGTCTTCGACTCGGAGCGATCGATTTCTTCATGTTTTATAATAATTAAATATGACCGAATGATAAAATCATTATCAATTTAATTATTTTTTTTCAGAATTGTTAACTAAAATTCTTTTTTAAATCGATTATTTTTAATAATTTTCGAAAAATGTTCTTTGACAATTTTCAAATCCATTTGTTTACAATATTCAATTTTACGAAATTTAAATTATTCGTAAATTCTTCAATTAAATAAATATTAAAAAATAAAAACTTCAAATAATATAAAAAAAATTCAATTAAACATTTTCAAAAAAAATTAATTTCAAAATTCAATTATTTCTAAAAGTTTACACTATATTGCTTTTAATATTCAATTATTATCTAAAATTTTAACTGAAATTCATTTTAAAATCAATTTTTATTAGAAAATTCTACTAGAATTCAATTATTTAAATACAAAAATAAATAATTTATTTAATAATTGAATGTTTCTTACAATTAAATTCCCATAAAGAATTTTTTTAACAAACTTTTAAAGAATTAAATTATTTTGACGAATTTTAATAAGCTTTTCAAGAATAAGTAATTACATTTTTCGAGAAATTCGATTAAAATTGTATCAAAAATAATTGTGATTCTGCGATGGGTTTTATTATTTATAAAAATAATTGAATCCCTAAGATGAATTTGATTATTTTTGAACAATATTTAATTTTTGCGAAGAATATTTAATACTCTTGAAAATAATTAAATTTCTGCAATAATTTGTAACTTTTCTAAAATTAATTTTTTTTCGTGTTTTTAACTAAAATTTTTCTATAAATGTAAATATTTTAAATAATTTTTGAAAATTTCTTTAAGAATTTCCAAATTCATTTGTTTACAATTCAATTTTACAAAATTTCAATTATTCGTAAATTCTTGAATTAAATATATATTAGAAATTAAAAACTTCAAATATTTTTTTAAAAAATACGCAATTAAACTTTCTCAATAAAATTAATTTCACAGAATTGTTACTTTAAAATATGAAAAATTTAGATTTTTCTAAGATTTTAATTTGAAACCTTTTCAAAATTCAATTATTTCTAAAAATTCACGCTCTAATGCTTTTAATATTCAATTATAATCTAAAATTTTTATTAAAATCCATTTTTAAATCAATTTTTATTAGAAAATTCTACAAGAATTCAATTATTTAAATACAAAAAAGTATAATTTATTGAATAATTGAATATTTCTTAAAATTCAATTCTCATAAAGAATTTAATCAACAATTTTTTAAAGAATTTAATTCTTTTGACGAATTTTAATCAGATTTTCAGGAATAATTACAATTTTCGAGAAATTCGATTAAAATTGCATTAAAAATAATTGAAATTCTGCATTAAATTTCATTATTTATTAAAATAATTGATTTCCTAAAAAGAATTGTATTTTTTACGAAAATAATTGAATCCCTGTAAAAATATTATTATTTATGAAAATAATTGAATGATTGGGAATAAATTTATAAAAAATTTGTAAATAATTGAATTCTTGTTAAAGTTTTATTATTTTATGAAAATAATTAAAGGATTGCGTAGAATTTTATTAAATTTTTTTTTAAATAATTGAATTCTTTTGGAAACTGTTATTAAAATAGTAGATATTAAAAAATCATTTAATTGAGGAAAATTTTCGAAAATAATTGAAATTTTGACAAGAATTTTATTAAAATTTTTGAAAATAATTGAATTTTAGAGAAGAATTTAATTATTTCTAAAGATAATTGAATTTCCGCGTTGAATTTTATTTACTTTTGAAAATAATTGAATTTCTGCAATCACTTGTAATTTCTCTAAAAGTCTCCAAATTATATCGTACAATTTACGAACTTTTTGTCTTTTCTCAATATAATAATTGAATAATAATCAAAGATAATTGAAAAGTGAACAAGTTAGTGGAAACGTTGAACGGAAAAAGATAATAAAAGAAAAATGATAATAAAGAAATAAGATAATTAAGAGAAAAGATAATAAAGAAAAAGAAAATAAATAAAAAAAATAGTAAAGAAAAAAAGACAAAATAAGATAAAAGCTAATCAAAAGAAAAAAAAAGATGCCAAAGAAAGAAAGAAAATTTAATTACCCTTGACATCGAGACACGTGGTCTGTAGACTAAATCATCAAAGCAGACTCTATCTTTGCTGTCGACAAGTTCTCTAAGTTCAATGAGCAAAGTGAGCTTTTCATGAGTGTTTAGAAGATCAGCTAGGCTTGCCACGAGTTCCTCAACTGTTATCCTTCGTGTTCTATAATCAGCCAAAAGTTGTGAAAGGGCTGCTCTTTCACTTCTGGCAAGAACAACCCTCGCTTTCTCCTCCACCATTGCCGCAGTGGCTGCTGATACAGAATGAACACCTCGGTGCCTCCATTCGTTGGTGCTATTCCTGCCAAAGAAATAAAAAACAAACATAAAAAACAATGCCCGAAAGAAAGGAAACAAAATCACAAAAAAAAAGAAAATTCCCTAATTAACTTCCCTCGTCTAAATTTGATCCAAATGTTTCTCGAATTCTTTTTAGGGAACAATTAATCATTACAGCAATTAAATATCTCTAAACTAATTGTTAGCTCAAGTATTTAAATAGACTTTTTTATAATTTACAAAATCTCGAAAACTGGCAAAACTTTTTCAGGCTTGGCACTAAAATTTTATTTTATTTCTTCCTGATTCTTAGCCAGAATTTTGACCTTTTCCTTGATCCAAAAGTATATTCTGATTCACACTACTGTGACTTCACAGTAGTCACAAGTTTCAGTTTATCAATTTCCTTGACAATTTACTGACATTAAAATTATTTTCCTTGTCAAAATTTTTTTACAGGAAAATATGAAAGTTTACGGAAAATGAGTAAAATTTATGAAATTTAATAATTTCTAAAAATTACAACTATAACCCTTCCTGAATTTAATTATTTTCTATAATTTTCAAGTAAACCTCATCTCTAAATCAATTATTTCAAATAGTTTTCCGAAAGTTCTTCGAGAATTAAATTATTTAAATACGAAAATTCAATTTTTTATAATATTTGTAACTCTCCATATTTTTTCTTCAGTTTATTAAGGTATAGGTAATATTGTCAAAAAATAAAAATAATCAAATGTTTGAAGAATTTTGATTGTAAATATGACCATGGTTACTCCGAAATTTTAATAAGTCCAAAAAAGTAAATTTTTATTTGCTTTATTCGAAGATAATTAAATCTTATAAAATTATCATAACAAAATTCTAAGAATTAAGTAGTTTTTAAAAATATTTTAATGTAATTTTTCGAAAACAATTGGATTTCTTAAAAGAGATTTTGTATTATTTAAAACAACTAATTAATTTTCTGATGAATTTTAATTAAAAGTTTTGAACATGATTTTTTTATCCAAAATGTTAAAAATAATACTAAAATGTTATTATTTTTTGTATGTATTTAAAACTTCGGAAATATGCAATTGAAAGTACTGAAAATACTAAATTTAAAAAAAATTAGATTGTTCATTAACATTTTTGATAATTTAGTTATTTTGAAAATTTGCAATTAAAATTCTTCAAAAGTTGATTTTCCAAAATTCTAACAAAATACTTGAAAAAAATTAATTATTTTCAATTAAATTTTACAAAATTTCAATTAATCAAAATCTTTTTAATTGTATATTTCAAAAATTTAAATAGAAAAATGATTCAAAAATAATTTCTGAAAAATTTGTTTATAATTATTTTTGGTGCTATAAAAATCGAAATGAATTACATTTAATACTATAAAATATGATATTTAGTAAAATAAATATAATGCAACTTACGCAGGACTAGGAGGTCGATGATTTGGTGGACTTTCAAGTATCATTGAATCATGATCCGAATACCTGGACACGGGAACAACCATCGGTGTGCTTGTCGTACAGGAATGGGGCACTTTGCCAACATCACGAATCAGAAGGGACATTCTTTTATTTGTTTTAAGAATCTGGACGGCTTCATCATGAGTTGCTTCCTCGAAGCTTTGTCCATTCACTTCAAGTATTTGATCGCCAATCTGAAAATCAAGCAGAGTGAAACATTTTTATTTTACTTTCTTCCCTTTTCTCTGCGATTTAATACAATAACATAATATTTTCTCATGTGATGAGAGTTTAAAAAAAATTATTGAAACACTATTTCAAAATATGTGTGTTTTTAATCTGAAAAATTTTAGAATCATTTAAGTTGAAGTAGACGCTGAGCAATGATTTTTCTTTTACCGCTGAATTAAAAAGAATCAAACCACAGGGATTAACATATCTTTTTTCTTTACAAATAAAGAAAATAAATTATTCTCCGACAAATCGGAGCCAAAACATATTATAAATAAAAAATTAACGCGAAAACTAATTTTCATGTGAATAATTGGAATTTTTTTATAATTATAAGTAATAAAAATGCTTATTAATAATAATAAAAAATGAGTAACCAAATAAAAATGAAAAAGTAATGCGGCATGTTTTGTTTATTCTCATTTCTCTACCCTTGAAACACTATTGTTACGTATTTTATTGACAAAAGCTTTTTTGTTTTTTATTGTAGTTCCCGATGAGTCGTGTACATGTCGAAAATGCATTTGAGTGGTGACTGAATGTGGTCACTAAATCCGAATTTAATGTCAGATTTAAAATATTCAAAGTGGCGGATCCAAAATGTGGACCAAAGATTTCAAAAATTAACGTATTTGTCTCAAAATGTTTAGTCAGGGGGGTATCTTTTGGTTCACTGAAATCGTACTTAATGTTAGATTTAAAATATTAAAAAAATTATTTTTAATAATTTTTAAAAAAGTTCTTTAAGAATTTTCATATTCATTTGTTTACAATTCAATTTTACGAAATTTCGATTATTCGGAGATTCTTCAATTAAATATATATTAAAAAATAAAAACTTCAAATAATTTCAAAAAAAAATTCAATTAAAATTTATCAAAAAAATTAATTCTACAGCATTGTTAGTTGAAAGTACGAAAAATTAAAATTAACAAAGATTTTAATTTCAAACCTTTTCGATATTCAATTATTTCTATAGAAATTTACGTTATAATGCTTTTAATATTCAATTATTATCGAAAACTTTAACTAGAATTTATTTTTAAATCAATTTTTATTAGAAAATTCTGCGAGAATTCAATTATTTAAATAAAAAAATTAATAATTTATTGAATAATTGAATGATTCTTAAAATTGAATTCTCGTAAAGAATTTTTTCAAGAAGTTTTTAAATAATTCAATTCTTTTGAAGAATTTTAATATAATTTTTAAGAATAATTACATTTTTCGAGGAATTCAAATTAAAATTGTATTAAAAATAATTGAAATTCTGAGATGAGTTTTATTACTGAAGAAAATAATTGAATTCCTAAAAAGAATTTTATTATTTATAAAAATAATTGAATCCCTGTAAAAAATTTTATTTTTTATGAAAATAATTGAATTATTACGAAGAAATTTATAAAAATATTGAATTCCTGTGCAATTTTTTTTATTATTATGATAATAATTAAATATTTCCGTCGAGTTTTATTACATTGTTTTAATAATTGAATTTTTTTGAAAAATTTTATTAAAATGGTAGATAATTGAAAATCATTGAATTGAGGAAAATTTTTGAAAATATGTACATATTGAAATTTTTCCTGAAATTTTATTACAATTTTTGAAAATAATTGATTTTAGAAGAAGAATTTTATTACTTTGAAAATAATTAAATTTCTGCAATCATTTGTAACTTCTCCGAAATTCAGTTTTTTCGTGTTTTTAACTAAAATTTTTTTATGAATCCATTATTTTTAATAATTAATTAAATATATATTGACAAATTGAACTAATTTCAGAAGAAATTTAAAAAACTTTAATAAAATTCTTCTTAGAAATTCAATTATTTTGAAAACTTTTAATAAAATTCGTTGCAAGAGTTCAATTATTATTTTCATAAATAATAAAACTCATCGCAGGATTTCAATTATTTTAATAAAAAATAAAATTTTCATAGACATTCAATTATCATAAAATTTTTTGTAACAAAATAATTTAAAGAAATTTTTATAAAATTCTCCGAATGAAATGAATTATTATTAATAATTTTAATAAAATTTGTTTATAAGAATTCATGTATTTTCAATACAATTGTAATTATTTTCATCAAAAGAATTTAATTATTTTCCAAATGTTTAATAAAAAAATTCAATATTATTAAAAAAAAAAAATTTATAAAATTCTTTGCAAGAATTCAAATATTTTTATTACCAAATAATAAAAATTTTTTCATAAATTTAATTGCTTAAAAAGTTAATAAAAATATTAACGAGAATTTTATTATTTCCATAATTAATAAAATTCTTGTATGGATTTTAATTATTTTTAATACAATTTTAAATAATCCGAATTCGAAGTCAAAATTGACAGATTTGCTTAAAATTTTGAGATAAACTCAAAAAACCACTCAAAAATCCGAATTAAGATGAAAAAATTTTTTATGACACTACACTACTATATTCCCATGTACTTTTTCCCGCTGAATCCGAATTCGCAGTCAGAATTGACAGATTTGCTCAAAATTTTGAGATAAGCTCAAAGAATTGATAAAAAAGCGATTTAAAATAAAGAAATGGAAATTTTTTGCTATGACACTACATTACAGTATTTCCATATATTTTTACACTCGGATCTCGCATTTGAAGTCAGAATTATTCTAATGGCTAAAAATTTTGAGACACACAAGAAAATCTGTTAAGTTACAAAAATTAAAGTCAAGAAACTCTACTTTTCTTGCTAGTACACTACATTAGTATATTCTCATGTTTTTACATCTGCTTCTAAATTCAAAGTTAAAATTATTAAATTGGCTCAAAATTTTAAGTTAAATCCAAAAATGCTCAAAATTTAATATAATGCAAAAGAGTTCATTTTTTTGGTATTCGGTAGTGTATTCTCATGAATTTTATATACGCTGAATACAAATTCGAAGTTAGAATTATCAGAATGACATAAAATTTTTTAGAACTCAAACCCTGGTTACAGGTACAAGCATGCATGTTTTTGAGCACTTTTAATGAAATCCAAAATTTTGAGCCACTTTGAAAATTCTGACTTTGGAATCATAGTGAAAAAATACATGGGAATAAACTAGTGTAGTGTTATAGCAAAAAATTTCCTTTATTCATATTAAATTACATTTTTATCAGTTTTTTGAGTATATCTCAAAATTTTGAGCAAATCAGTCAGAAATCTGTCAATTCTGACTTTAAATGCGAGATCCGATATGGAAATACTGTAATGTAGTGTCATAGCAAAAAATTTCCATTTCTTTATTTTAAATCGCTTTTTTTATCAGTTCTTTGAGCTTATCTCAAAATTTTGAGCAAATCTGTCAATTCTGACTGCGAATTCGGATTCAGCGGGAAAAAGTACATGGGAATATAGTAGTGTAGTGTCATAAAAAATTTTTTCATCTTAATTCGGTTTTTTGAGTCTTTTTTTGAGTGGTGTTTTGAGTTTATCTCAAAATTTTAAGCAAATCTGTCAATTTTGACTTCGAATTCGGATTCAGCATGAAAAAATACATAGGAATATACTTTTGCAGTGTCACAGAAAAAATTTTTCATTTTCGTCATTTTAATTCGGTTTTTTGAGTTTAGCTCAAAATTTTGAGCACATCTGTCAATTCTGACTTCGAATCCGGATTCAGCGGGAAAAAATACATGGAAATATGCTATTGTCATGTCACAAAAAAAATTTTTAACTTTTTTGGTTCAAATTCGTGTTTTGAGTCGTTTTTTCAGTATAACTCAAAAAAAAGAACTAATTTGAGCATTCGGACTTCAGATTCGGATTCAGCGGCCAAAAATACATGGGAATATACTACTGTAGTGTCTCGGCCACGACACTTTTTTTTGTGTGCCTGTGTTATTATAAAACATGAAGAAATTGATCACTCCGAGTCGAAGACTCGGAGTTATCGATATCTTCATGTTTTATAGTTATGAAAAATTTAATTTATAGTTTCAAGTAAAATGTTCTCTTATTTGATTCGGACTGGTTATATTTTTGTCAGTAATTGGTCCGTAATTTTTCATTCTTGGTCCGTAAAGTCCGTATTTTTTAATACTGTCACTGTTTCGAGCCCTACTGTAATAAGTAAAAATAAACATTTTTATTCGCGAAAAAAGAAACTTACCAAAAGGCCAGCACGATCGGCGACACTGTCTTTATCCACTCCGGTTACGTAAATACCCAAACCATACTCAAGACCACCTCGAATCATAAGTCCAAGCGACTGGCCAGGCTCTATGCAAAGTTCGACCTTACGAGTTCTCGGACCGTAGCGTGAATCCCGCGGATGAAGAGGCGGTGGCGACGCTGGCCTACCTTGTCGATCCATCCAACTGCAGGACTGCTGTCTTCCGGTAGCGGTCCACACTGGATGACCACCGCGACAGCGAGGATCCAATGCTGGACCCCGTACCGTCATGCTCAAGGTCCGACAGGATTTCAACATCTGCGAACAAATCAAAAGAGTCATGGGCCTTCGTTAACTGTCCACTGATAATTCTAGATCTTAACCCGGATTGACATTCTGGCACCTAATTTCTATATGGCGCATACAATTTTTCCTTTTCTTTTCTTTTTTTGATTTGCTTTTCTTCTCTAGAAAAATCAGTTTTCTCTTTTCATCAGTGATACAATAATAAATGTGAATCATTAACATTTCGAATTCAAATAATAATTTCAATATATTTTATTCTTATGATGATAATAATATTTTAACTCTGGGTCAGGTTTCTTTTTTCGTAGTTCGACGATAACAATTTTCCACTCTCGTATTTCTATTTTCTGTTAATAAGTGGAAAAAATTTACGTGCATTGGTGGTACAAAAATTTTGTACTATTCGTTAAGAGCAACTGTTATTCCGATTTGACGCGATAAGCTCGTTTGTTATCCCTCATCGAAATAACAGTTATTCTTTTCAAAAGCACAAGAATTTAAACACCTACAAGTACAACCGATGCAGCAAAATTTCTCCCGTAAACAAATCTTTTTTTAACTAAAAAATAATGATAAAAATAAATATTTTTGAAAACAAAAATTGTAAATATCAAAAGTTATTAACAACCGAACTTGTTAGCATCTATTTCCAAAGCAAAATTTCCTTTTTCTTATGAAATTAAAGTTACCGCAATGTTTACATCGACGAAAGGAAAAAAAAGGAATAGAATTTATCAGTGAATTCTGTTTTTCTCGCATTGATTGGATTTGAAAAGCTATTAAGGTCATGAGAGGAAAGTCTCCACACAAAAAAAGTGATTTCCTGGGTATCTCACTGTGAAATGAGTTGAGATTTTTTAGGATAATTAGAAGAGAGCATTTTCTTTATATTTATAATATAATTTAATTTTATTAAATTATATAATTAAATTTACGATACCACTTTTTTTTATAAAAACGTCGAGAGTTTAAACAATTTTTTCAGTATACAATTATTTTTGGAAATTTTGCAAAATACCAAAAAGTGAATACTTCAATGTACCTTCCTCTATTACTTCCGAAAAATTCTTTATTCTTTAAATGAAAAGTAATTTACGAAATGAATTTTTCTTCAACATGACCTTAACACATTTTCGAAAACAAAACGAATTTAAAAACTATCGGTCTATCTGCTATCTCTAACCTTGATTATATTTGAAAAGCTCTTAAGAAAGTAATGAGGACAATAATTAAGTTCTTTCTGTCTAAAATTATTTGCTTTTCAGTTTTCGAAAAAATTTGTTTTCTCCTTTGCGTCGACGTAAACATCGGTAACTTATTATTCATTTCTTTGCAAAATAATATTTTTTTATATAATGAATTTTGAATGATGAAAAAAATAAGTAGTAACAGAAAAATTAAAAAAAAGAACTCAAAAATATTCGATAGAATTATAAATATCTTCAATCACTTAAAATAATTTTAAAAATTCGAAAATTATATGTAAAAAGAAATATTTTCTTTCTCTAATTCTGAAGAAAAAATAATAAAAATAATAAATAAAACAATAGTATATTGTGCAACAAGTACAGAAAGAAGCTGTTTTCCGACGAGTGCAAAGTTTGCTGTCCCGAGCGAAGCGAGGGCAGCAATTTGCACGAAGTCGGAAAATCTTCTTTCGTACGTGTTGCACACAGTACTTTGTGCAACACCTTTTGGTTTTGATAAAAAAAGCTGTTTAAAAAAAGCTAGTTGACGCCAACATACGTACTGTTTAGCAGGGTTTGAAACGTATGTTACCGCACGTAATATACGTGGTTTTCTACGCGTATATTACTGTAAAAAACAGGTATTCTACAAATAGAAAACAAATACCTATGTATATCACCAAAAAAAACCCAAAAGTTTAAGAACTTTGCCGCACTAGTGCAGCAAAGTGAGCACTTTGCCGCACTAGTGCAGCAAAGTAAGCTCTTTGCCACACTAGTGCAGCAAAGTACTGTTTTGCGCCTACTTTACAGGCATGCAAAGTATTACTTTCCTTACAGGTGTTGCACAAAAATAAATTTAAACTATCTGAAATTTTTCCTCTTTTTTTCAATTTTATTAATTTCGAATAAATAAATTTCAGTAAAATTTACTCTGAAAATAATAAAAATTTGCAAAAAGTTTAGTTTTATTTTGTTTTCCTTCTTTATAGTAGTTTAAAATGATAAAGCAATTCATTTAAATTGAAAAATTTTTTAAACAATGGAAATTTAAACCTGCTTGATAAGAAATAAATTCGTATCGAGTTAATTTTTAATTTCTACTTTCCCTTTTCTTTTTTATTTTAACAAAAATTTTTAATCTCAACTTTCAAACTGTTTCCAAAGAGGAAATATTTTAAGTTTCGAGTTTTGTTAAACTTTTCTTTAAAATTTTCTTTTTAGAAATAGTTAGAGTAAAGTTTTAAAAATTTATCTTCGTACATGTTCAAAAAAAATTTGTTTAAAATTTTTTTTATTATTTAATAAATTTAAATATAAATATTAAATATTACCTTGTTTACAAAATTTTTCAATTATTTCAACAAATTGTATTAGTTTTAAATTAACTTTTGAATTTTGACAATATTTTTATCTAAGTGGTACAATTTTTAATAAACTCTCGATTATTCTTGAACTAATTTTCTTAAATAAATAAATAAATAAATTTGCTTTTAAAGAAAAATCGATAAAACATTTTTTCAAATATATTTTAACTATTAATAACTTTTGATACAATTTTTTTTCTCAACATTATTTAAAAGTGTTTCTATCATTATTTACGACTAAAAAAATGTATTACAACAATATTGGAATACCTTTCGATAATTGAAATTTCTCTTTAGGAAATCTGACCCATTTATAATTTAATTATTTAATTAACATTATTTGCAAATTTGTCGATAATTAAATTAGTAATGGTAATTAAATCAACAAATAAATTAATAATTTAATTACCATACAAATGATTAACAATTTAAAAAACTAATTAAATAAATTTTTGTTAATACGATTTTTATAAATAAATCCTACTACAATAATAATAATTAATAAAAAATTACATATTACAAAATTATTATATGAATTCGCAACAAAAGGAATTGGAATAAAAAGTAAAAGAAAAAGAGCAGTTAAATTTTTTAACTATTGAAAAAACTGACACTTTTGTTTTCACTAATTTTCCAATTCTTCTTCAAATATAATGAGAAACTCAAATGAAATTATTCATGTTTTGCTTTTTCGATTACCTTGTTTGTCTAGATATATTATAGACAAATTTTCTACTCTATTAAAACTGGTGTTAGAGTTATAATTATTATTCTAATGGAAACGCTAATTTTATTATAGATAAATTTTAGGTTCGGATCATTCAATTAAAGTCAACTGTGCCAAAAATTATTCAATCAATTTCTCTATAATTACTATATCAGGAAAATAGGCCAATCCGGACTAACTTCTTTTGATAAAAAGACAGAGCCTAAAACGAGTGTGCAAGTGAAATTTTTCAAAAGAAAAACGATCCCAAATGATTCACCTTTTTTTCTTTTTTTTTTAAAAAAAAGGAAAAAATTTATATAAAAATTTCATGCATTTTGAAAAATGAATAATAAGAAAAGAAAGTTAATAAAATTTTCGTATTATTAATAAAAATTACAATTACTGAAATTATATTTTAAAGGAGTAATATTAAATTATCAAATTTATTACCAATTTAAAAATTTAATTAAAAATTCAATTAAGAATTTAAATCTTAATGTACAATTTAATTTACACTTTAAAACTTAATGAACCATTTAATGCTTAATTAACAATTTAAAACTTAATTCGCCATTTAATACTTAATTAACAATTTAAATTAATAATTTAAAACTTAATTGCCATTTTTATTAACAATTGAATTAAAAATTTCATCAACTATTTAATTATAAAAAAAATATTTAATAAAAAATGAAAAAGTTTTACAAATATGAAATATTTAATGGAAAATATGTAGCTTTTTCAAAAATTTATTCATAATGGAATTAAACAAATTTCCGGAATTGGTCATTGCACTCTGATTTTTGGCACTATAGTCAATTATTCTACAAAAATGAAATAAAAATTAAAAACTGAACTTCAAAAATAATAAGTGTTATTATAGAAAAAAAACCCGAAATGGACCTATTACAATAAACGTGCTATTTATTTATTTTTTCAAAATAGTATTGCGATGGAAAAACGTTCTTACTTTTCGAAAGGTGGAAATTTAAAAAAGTAGATATTAAAGTATATCTATGTAAAGTAGATTAATTCAAAATTTATCTTTTTATATTTAAATTTCAATACTCAACAAAATATCAATTTTGAGTATTAAATTATACTTTACTTAATTATTAAACAATTAAATAATTATATTACAATATATTAATATTAAACATTAACTAAATTAATGATTCACTTAATTACTTTAAATACAAATTATTTCTATTTTTAATTAATTAAAGTAATAAATAATATAACAGATAGACTCATTAAATATTTACACACAAGAAATTATATTATAAGACAAATTATAAAACAATTATCTTTACTTTTATTATTATTATTATTATTATTTTCATTATCATTTAATAATAAAGTTGAAATTTACTAAAATATAAAAAAGTTATTAAATAAAACTTAATTTTTAGAAATTTTATTGTACAATAATTTCTTCAAATTTGCATCGCAATATCATTTTTCCCAAAAAGAAAGGGGTTTTCGAATAATAAAATATTAACACTATTAATAATAAATTTAGTGCACTGAAAAAAGTTTTGGTTAATTGCACCATTATAAAAATATTCTATAGTTATCAATTTTTTTTTACAAACGTTTCTAGTTAAAAATATTCTATAGTTGTTATCAATTTTTTTTACAAACGTTTCTAGTTAAAAATATTCTATAGTTATCAATTTTTTTTACAAACGTTTCTAGTTAAAAATAACTAGAACAATTTTTTCAGATTATAGAGTAAAAAAAATTATTTAATTCAAGTGTATATAGACTTTTTACTTTAATAATAAGAATATCATTTATATTATTAATTTTATATTTTTGAATTTTCCTCCCCCCCTAAAATTTTTACCAATAATCACATAAAATGTCCACTTTAAAAGTTAATAAACTTTAAATTTTAAGTAATATTATTTTGAAATAAACTTATTTTATGTTCATTCCAAAATATATTTATCAAATATTCAATAATTATTTATTCAAAAATTATTATTTCATTTTGCAAAATGAAAAAAATAACCCTTCATTCAAGATGAAGAGATAGCAAACATAACCTACAAAATTTTTGTTCTTTAGGACTTTTTCTTCACGACATTTATTAAAAGATTTTAAAAATAATTTTATTTTTATCATTTTTAATACGATACAGCTAATATACGTTGAATAAATAAATAAATTTTTGAGAAAACTTTCTTAAATATTAATTTTAAGAAAAAATTTTTTAATTTAATTGACACATGAATTAAATAATTTTTTATAAAGAATATAAAAATTTTGGTGAATGTAACCAGTCTTTTTTTTCAGGATTGAAAATATTTTTGACTCGAGGGGGTCGTGAAATTTGTGTTTATCGAGGAAGTATTTGAAAAGTGTTACTTACACTCTGAATCTGAGGTGGCAAGACAGAAAAAGAAAGCACAAAGATAGGACGATTGTACAAGCCAATAAGACTTTTTATTCTTTATATATTTTTATTTTAATAGTAAAGAAACTTATATTTTCATATATCACTCTATATAGTTCAACCTTTTTTCTTTTTAATACTTTTATTTATTACTATATAATTAGATTACTTTTTCACTAAACATTTTTCTCCTTTTTTATACATACTTCATTTTCTTTACAAATCAATACTTTTGTACATTTTTTTTAAATGTAACAAATACATATATAATGTAAATTTTTTGTATTCACCAAAAAACAATGTTATTCGTTTATCAGGGTTGCCACAAAAATTTAATTTTGTTTTTCCCTGACTTTTCCCTGACTTTCAAACAAAATTTTGACTTTTTCCCTGAACCTGAAGAATATTTTGATTAACTCCAAAAATTATTAGATACTCAAAAAAATGTTCTATTACATTTATTTACAAATTTCCTTAATATTGTAGAATTATTCGAAAACATCAATAACTTCCTTTTTAAATAAATATTTAATCATTATTATTTTTCTATAGGAATTAAGATTTTCAAATTTAAACCTTCTGAAATTCAATAACTTACGAAAATATTATTATAAAACATGATTTATGATATAAATCATTATTTTATATCATAAAAATATTATAACTATAAATTCAAATTTTCAAAGATTTTAATTTAAACCCTCCTCAAAATTCAATTATTTCTAAAAATTCACGCTATATTGCATTTAATATTCAATATTATTATCTGAAAATTTAACTGAAATTCATTTTTGAAACAATTTCTATTAGAAAATTCTATGAGAATTCAATTATTTAAATACAAAAATAAATAATTTATTAAATAATTGAATATTTCTTAAAATTGAATTTTTATGAAGAAATTTATCAAAATTTTTAAAAATAATTGAATTCCTTCAGTGAATTTAAAAAAATATAAAAAAGAATACAATTTCCTATCATTTTATTTAAAATTGTATAAAAAATAATTTAAAATTCTGCGATAAGTTTTGTTATTTAGGAAAATATTTGAATTCTTACAACGAATTTTATTAAAATTTTTTTTTAAAGAATTGAATTCCTGTCAAGAATTTTATTTGTGAAAATAATTGAATTCCGGAGAATCATATTATTATTTATGAAAATAATTAATTTCTTGTGAAGAATTTTATTCAAAATTTGATTAAATAATTGAATTTCTCCGAATTTTTTAAAACTTTTTGAAAATAATTAAATTCTATCGAGAAATTAAATTGAAAAATTAAAAATAATTGAAATCTAACGAAGAATTTTATTAATTTTTTTTTCTTAAATAATTGAATTCCTGTGGAAATATTTATTGTTGAAAGAAAATTAAATTTTTTTAAAGAATTTTATTGAAATTTCTTAAATAATTGAATTGCTTCGAAGAATTTTATTTTTTAAGAAAATAATTGAATTGTTTTGAAGATTTTTACAAACATTTTTGACAATAATTGTATTCCTAGGAAGAATATTATATTTTACGAAAATAATTGTATTCTATGATCAATTTTATTATACATTTTCAAATTTATACAGCATTTTATGAACATTTTTTAAAATAATAAATTGATTTTTTGCGAAGAATTTTATTCAAATTTTTTTAAATATAATTCACTTTTTTTTTATAAAAAAATGTATTATTTGTTCTCAATGGTAATTTTTTCGATCACTTAAAATTCTCTTTAAATATTATTATTTAATTGAGCTGAAATTTTGCACGAAAGTTTAAAATACAATGAAAAAGGGCAGTGATGTGCAAAAGTTTTAATTTTTTAAAAATTAATCATTACAAATCACTTTAAAATTATCAGTTGTCACGGTCACTTCTAATCAATTTCTCTTCTTTACCGATTTTAAAATGTTTTATTATAATTTATTTTTAAATTATTAAAACTTTTGCACATGACTGCACTTCTTTATTATATTTTAGACTTTCTTACAAAATTTCAGAATTGTATTGAAAATAATTGAGGTCCCATAATTGAATTCTATAGGAAAATTTTATTTTTTAAATTTTGATTGAGTATGTTTATTATCAACGTTTTTGTTGACCAACGTTTATAAAATGGACAGTTTTCTTAAATGTTTGATTCACGAAGATCGAACAACAAAAACATCGATAATAAAAATCCTGAATTAAAACTTATAAAGTCCTGTTACTTATTACCCCACTATGACATAATTTGACCCATTTCTTTCATAATTCAATTTTTATATTTTTATACCATAAATTCGATTCTTTTTTTTATTCCTCTTCTAATTTTTAAAAAAGTTTTTTAAAGGTTCTCTAAAATTTGTATTTTTTTGGAAATAAAAAACAGAAATTAAATTTTTTCATATTTTCTAGTTTTATTTTTTTCCTGCTTTAAAAACTTTATAGCGCACTTGTTATCAGCGTTTATTAAAAAAAAGGGAAAGTGTAATAAAAATTTTGAAACTCTAGTAGTTTGACGTCAATTTTTTTTATGACAACTTGCCAACTTCAATCAATACGGGAACTCTAATTGACCAAAAATTGGAAACACGAATGTAGAATATCAAGAAGTGAAAAATTTCCTCCTTCTCTCTCTCTCTTTCTCTATGAACGTTTATTTAAATTCGTATATAAACGTGCGCACAATACTGCACAGAGCAGGGTTATTTGAAAAGTTTTCCAAACTTTATACACTAAAGTGATATGTAAAATTAGAAAACTTCGAATTACTGAATATTGTCTTCACAGATAGTGTTCAGTTTTCAGAGTAGACTAAAATATACATAATTATATTCACTTTGAATATCCTCTGCCAGACTTTATTCCATTAATTAAAACAGAAAAAAAATATTTCTAAAGATTTAAATTTACTATGGAGAATTTTGCATTCTGTTTTAAAACAAAAAGAAAATTTGCTCAAAGGTTCTTTAGGAATACAAAAAAAAAATTCTACTTTTTCATAGAGTCAAACTTTGTGAATATTTCTTTCTAATTAATTTTATTTAATTGCAGTGTTTCAAAAAATGGGTAAAAATTTTACTCCCAACGGGATTTTATAGAAGTTGTCTGTTCTTTTGAAGTTAAGGAAGAGTAAATTTACTTTTTTGCAGTTTAACTCCGTAAGGAGTTAAAGAAACTTGTGCAAACTTTTGCAGAAATTGTCCCACTTTGCCCTTTTTCAAAATAGGGTTCTAATATGGATCTTACTAGAAACTGGGAAACCTGATTGGAAACTTGTTAAAATCCTGTTTTGACAGGGCATAGTAGGAAAATTTTTACACCAAGAAGTACATCTGTTTCGAATTATTATGTTTTAAATTAATTTACTGTTTTGAATGGGGATTTGACCAGGGCCTCGACAGTTTTCCTATTTTGAACAAAATGTAAATAAACAGGAAAACTAGCTAGGCCTTCGCTATAAAGTTCCATTTTCACGAAAGTAGGCGAAAAATGTAGGGGCATAAAACATCTTTTTATAAATGTTTGAATAATTTTTCACATGGTAGAAATTTGACTAAAAGTTCTACAGTTAACCTCAAACTCTCTAAATCTGAATTAGTAGAATTCTAGTAAAAAACAGTAACATTTTACTAATTTTTAGTAGTTTTTATAGACGCGACTTTCCCCCTTTTCAATTAGTACAATATTACTAATTTTTAGTAAAATATTTTACTAATGTTTATTAGAATTCCACTAATCGAAAGTCACTTATTTCACTAAATGAATTAGTGAAATTTATTAATAGTCGATAAAACAGTTCTACTAATTTTTAGTAGAATTCTACTAACAATTAGTCAAATTTCACTATTTGTTAGTAAAATTATTACTAAATCATTTGGTGGAAGATTTTTCGTCATTTCATTAGTAACTTTCTACTAATTCAGATTTAGAAAGAACGTTGAATAGTTTAAATAAAGAGCTATGACAAGCGCCTTGTCAGTCTTTTTATTTTGAAAAAAGGTAAATACAATTTAAAATTATAAAAAGTAAAAATGTAAAAAATCTGTAAAAACTGCCTTCGTAGAAATTGTCCCACTTTTACAAACTAGGCAAAATCAAGAGTTTTAAAAAGGACATAACTATAGTTTTCAAGTAAAAAACTAATCATACTTTTTAAAGTTTTTTCCTTTATTTTTAATCAAGAGGGGAAATTACAAGAAGGGTTTAAAAAATCTTTAACAACACAGGTTTACAAATTAAAATAAATTTTTGGACCCAAAACGTCAAGTAGACCCAAAAAGCGTACTTTTTGACGTATTTTACTACGCTGAATTAGAATGCGTTGCTAGATTTTTCCTAGCACACCAAATTTTAAAATAGCGCTGCCAAAATAGTGAAAAAATAAAAAATTTGATAGAATTTGCTTAAAACTTGTTACTCGGTGTTTTTCGAAGTCATCACTGATTACGAATCTAAAGTTCATTTTAAAAAATTCAAAATGTCGGATCCATTGTGGTGGACAAAAAAGTTCAAAATCACTCGAATTTGCTTGAAACTTATCAATTGGGGTTTTTTGGGATCATTTTGAAAGATTGAAATCATATTCGAAATCAAAAATCCTAGAAAATCCCTAAATAACAAGTTTCAAGCAAATCTGAGTGATTTTTATCATCTGAGCCACCATGATGGATCAGCCATTTTGAATTTTTTAAAATAAACATCGCGAAGTTTTTAATGAATAAAATCTTTAAAACGAATTATATTTTAATCTGCTATTTTTATAAAACAAAAGTTTGATTACATGACAATTAGAGGGCACTAAATGTTATTATTTACTTCTTTGATAGTTAACAATTTTTAGTAAATATAGATTTTAGTAAAATCTTAGTGTTTTAATTTACACTTTGTTGTACAATTTCTACCAAAAAAAATTTATCATCTCTTTCTTTTTTTAATTCACTCTGGAATATCTACAAAAAAGATTTAATAAAGCAAAAACAATCAAAAAATTTGTTAAGCAATGTTATAA